AAGTAGTATCGTAAGAAAGTATCGATACCCGAAAAACATCGGATGTAAAGTATCGATACCCGAAAAATATCGGATCTAAAGTATCGATACCTACTCGTGTCGGTGCTTTTGGCTGTGAGGGTATTCCGTATGAACTGGATTAAATTTAATTTTTTTAAGTAATAAATTAATCATCCTCGGCGAAGCCTAAACTCCGAATAATAAAAGCTAATAATGAAGGAACTGAAGATAGATAAAATAACATAGCAGAGCAAAACTATATCGAGCCCTAACCGCCAAAATCACGTAAGCGACATTTTTTTCAAAATTTTCTTTTTGATGCAGAAATGCATCTAGATGCTCTAGGAATATTTCTGCATCAAAAAGAAAATTTCGAAAAAAATGTCGCTTACGTTATTTTGGCGGTTAGGGCTCGATATGTTTAATGATGAATGGTATTTAACAGAGTTAATACCTTGGAAAAATTTACAAGAAGTTAATCTCGTTTAACCATAGAACCGTGAATTAGGTACTCAGTACCCATATTCATGTTTGATGTTTATTTTCGGTTTTGCGACGTCGGAAATGGATTCCCTGATACAAGAACAGCAAAAATGTCTGTTAAAAAGTTCATTTCATACTGCTTTCAGGAAAAATATTAACATCTTCATAATTTGAAAGTGGCTGGCGTTTAAACAGCCGTAAGGCACTGGGCGATTTATATTAGTGGAGGAAAAAGTTCCAAAGGAAAACTCGTTTGGTATCGGATTTCGCAACGAGTATTTTTTTCTATACCTACTCAGTGCTTGGTGCAAAAGTATCGATACCATAATTACTTGGTATCGAACGAAAAGTATCGAGTATGTACTTGTATTTACTCGTATCATTAACTTGAGTTATGATTTTTTTTTACATCGAAGTTTAGTAAAATGAGTACGTTACAAATTTACAAATCTTTTCAATTGTTTTTAGAATTTTTTTGAGTGTGCAGTTTTGTAGCCCATTATATTTTAGAATAATAAAGTGCAAATTTTAAGCTACTGCAAAATTGCGTTGATTTTTAATATTTTTTAGGCCTACGGCTTTTTGCACTTTTTTCTAATGGAAGAAAATGCGTAGAACCGTTTTCAAAAAAAATTATAAAAAAATTAACGTCAGTTTTACAATCGCTTTAAACTTGCTCTTTATAATACTAAAATTTAATGGGCTACAAAGCTGCACATTCAAAAAAATTTAAAAATTTTTAAATTTGTAATGTACTCATTTTACTCAACTCTGGTGTAAAAAAAAAAATCATAACTCAATTTAGTGTAGAGTGCACCCCATATATACTTAAATATTGCGCAATACTCAGAGCTATCATTGTAATTTTTAACCGACTTCCAAAAAAGGAGGAGGTTATCAGTTCGTCGGA